GTACCCATTTTGACCGCAAAACGCCCACAAATTTCCACAAATCTCCCGCACAAACCCGAAAACTCCCGCAAATCAGGAAAAGTAATAGATTTAAATGATCAAGGCATTTTGTGGTGTTCACTGGCACGTTGGCCAGTGCTGCGAGGTGTATTTGCTTTGTATGGCCAATGCGCGACTGGAAACAACGCAAATCGTATGTGTTTTTGCCCCAATTGTGCTAATCCACTGGAATTCGGTAAATCGTAGGGGTCTCCTAAAACACCCAGACATTTGCCGGAGTTTGAAGGTCCAGGAGCGCAGACTGCGTGACCATGCTGGCCACGGAGCTATTCGTAAATGACAAATCAAGATGCTCAGATGCAAACATATCGATCAAGAAACAACTGCAAGCCGGCGGAATAGCCATGTCTTGGGCAGCCTTTGGCATCCGTTGCGGAGTCGCCGCAGCCGCTGGTACATCTGTTCTCCCAATATCAAGGACCCAATTTGGACAAACGAACCTCCTGAGGGGTATTGGTAGCGGCTGCTGTGAGGGTCTTATCCATACCCAGTTTGGTCGCGCGATCCCTCTTTTGTTTCCGACAAAAAATCGCCACATATTTGAATTGCAAGCGCGTTGTCGACTTGCATGTGTCTGAGGTCCAGGGCAGAGTTGTTGCCCAAAATAGGCCGCCTTATCGCGATGTACGCGCGGCGTGGTGGCCAATCGGGACACCACACACGCAGGCCTCTGGCAAGGCTGGCGATGCCAAGTCAGCTACGCCTAAAGCGAGGGCTGGCTGTACGAGAAGGCGCTTTTCTATAGGCAGGTTTGCGCCAGACATTCCCGTGTCAGGCCTCATGGCCGCCCTATAGGCCGCGCATACCGACAGTGCCAAACCTTGCGCGTGAGCATTTTGGGATTTAGGCCCCTGTTTTGCCCGTGCTGTCTTTGTGGCAACTTTGGCCGCCGCAATATCGCCCGACCCGTTTGCGCAAGAACTCGCGACGGTGTGTGTTCGTTTGAGTGAGCCTGTGGCAACTGGCGTCGAATACTTCCTGGAGGCCCAATTGATACAGACAAAAATGCTCAGTTGCATTTTCGGAGTTCGAGCGATTTTTTCTGAAACGAACAGTTTTGAAGATGGCTTGGCCCGAAATGCGCACCGCGTTTCGAGCGCAATTCGGCGCAACTTCGGGCGCAGTTTCGCGCAAGTCGGGTGCAACCGAGCGCAATTTCAACAACTGCCCAAATTATGGTCACTACACTAGCGCCAAGTCGCTGGCTCCCAGAAACATGTCGGGCACTTTTTTCGAAACGAACAAACTATAGCTACATCAAATCGGAGCTTCCCACTGCCCCGACTGCCCCACCCTTTTTGGAGTGCTGCAGCGATGTGCAAGCCACGAGCTCAGGAATTTACCCGCAGGCAGTTTTGAGACAGAGACTGCTTTGGCTTGTGTCGAGGCCAGTTCTTTTAACTCTACGCCCATGTCCCTCGCGAAGCGCTGCGATGCCCAGAGACACACACCACGCACAGGCTCATCAAAAGATCATATCTCCGCGCGGACTGGAGTCCAAGCCTTACTCCTTGCATGCTTCGTCCTTGGGGGTCACTGGCGGCAAGGGCCGGCAAGGGCCTGTTGTGGCCGCCTTCGCGGGACGCAACGCGTTTGGATTTCAGGCAGTTTCAGGCAACAAAACAGCCCGAGGGCCACTGGCTGCGCTGGCCGGCAAGGGCCCGTTGTCACTTTTGTGGACATGGCCGTTCTTCGGGGGACGCCATAACGGGTTTGGATTTCAGGAAGTTTCTGGCAACAACAAAACAGCCCGACGCGGATGTGCTGAGAGGCGTGCGCCAGCCAAAAAAAACCGCCCGAAGTTGCCGGGGAAACGGACCCGTTTGCGCGATCCCCCGTTAAGGGCCGCCAAGATAGGCACATGCCCCATCCACAGTTCCACACCTTGTGGGTGAATCTGTGTGCTTGTTCTTTCTTGGGTGTCCCGACTGGCCACCATGCCACACGCAGATTGCGATGTGGCCGCCTTTTGAACTTTTGGGAGAGGGGCGGGCGGTGAAGAGCAGGTGCTCCTTGCGGCACAGTAACGGTTCCTTCACACAGGTGGCGACATATTTGCCAAGAAGGCATGCAGTCATCGAAATAACGACCTCTGAGCGGAGGCGAGTATTGATTGACTGTCTAGGTTCGGCAACGACGAAGTCGTCAAAGTTTGAGCGGCGCGCGTCCCTGCAACCTTGTCAAATCCAGAGAGAACGTCGGGGACATCAGTTTGAGCCCTTGGAGGTGGCAACCTGGTTTGATTGTGATTTGTCGTGTTGTGTTTCCTGTATGGAAGCTTGGCTGAAGCCCCCAATCCCCTCTCAGGCCAGCTGTTGTGCTATAAAGCCACCGGAAGCACACATGTGCAACGCAATCGTATGCCAGTCGCACAACGCTCGAAGTGCCTCTTGGTCTCACGAAACAAACATGGGGCCTGGCAAGGTCAACTGTGGGTGATGTCAGTGCTCCTTCCAAGAAAAGAAGAAGTTGGTTGTGACTGCAGTCAAGCCGTGGGAATTCTGTGGTGTTGGGTTTTCACGGGTGCCGTCCTGCCCAATGCTGGCGCTGGCCAAAACTGCAAAATGCCGCAAGCTGCAACGTGCTCTTTGCAGAGCTAGAGATCATGGCTTCATGCCCGCACTGTTCTCCGGTCGTGCTATAAAGCTGCGTTGGACCAGCACCAGCGAGCAAGCGCTTCCAATTGTTTTTGTTGACTTTGCGCGGAGCTCAGAATGCGACATCGCCGCGTGCTCCTGGCCCTTTGCGCTGCCAGGACAGTCCTGTGGTGCTTGTTGTGCGGCTTTGCCAGGCCAGAGCCGTTTGACACAAAGACTTGACCGAAATCAAGGCAGTGTGGAACAAGAAGAATAACGGCTTATCAATGTCACACATGGCTGCTTATTGCTTTAAACCCATCGCGAAGGGTCAAAGAGATTCCGACCGGGCAATGTGACCCAGTGTGCAGCCGGGTTTGCAGAATATGTGACTACTTGACCTGTACTGTTGCGGGGTGCCAACTGTAGCACTGGCAAGGCTCTCCGATTCCACAATGCCGGGCTGATGTCGCCTGAGCACGGCAGGGTAGGGTAGTGGCCAGTTTTGGGCAGGGCTCCCCATAACTACATATCAGCCATTCAAATCATGACTCAAAGTCCGGCAAAATCTAAGAACTCTTGAGGTGCTGTTTCACAGCCAAGCCTCCCGGGGCCTGGAGTCTTTGACGTCCTCATGCTCACGCCGCCCGATGCCCGGCACAACCTGTCACATGCAGACTGCGCCGCAGCCAGTCTGGCTTCTAGCAAGCGAACCGAAGCTGCATGGGCTGGCTGCACGAAAAGAGCAGCTGACTCGGACATGCATACAAATGGCATCCACCCGCAAGCATACTTACTTCGGGCATGGCCAAAGCCATCCGCTTGCTTGCACAAATCTGTGGCATGAAATGGTTGGCCGGTTGGCTTGACGTGTTGCAGGCAACACTCCCGTGTTGTTTCGGACTCCGAGGCTGAGTTCTCCTTCCTGAATCGTCCCATTCCAAAGCTGATTTTAAGCCTTAGATCCATGCAGTTGAGTGGCGGTGGTTTCACTGAGTGGATTTCAGATGTGGTTTTTCACCTGGTCCAGCCAGCGGCGTGCACGTACACTTCAATCTTACTGGAAGTGCGAGTTTGCAGCACTCCTCCAGCACTACAGTGAGGCAGGCAACGGCTGACCGGGACTCGTCGGCTTTGGCACACTTCTCGAGGCTTTCACAAAATCTGAACATGGCACCCCGGCCCTTGGCAAGGCACCGCACCTTTCTGTTTCAATGCCCTGCCCTTTCAACATTAAGGGCTGGTTGCGTCGTGTTCTTTTTGTGAGTGGGGATGTCAACCCGCTTAAGGTTGTAGGGGTGGACATTCCATGCAGCAGGGCAACATTTCAGCCGCTGCTATGCCAGCAAGAGCCACCTAGAATCTACCTGTTCAATCGTGATCGCCCCATCCCACTGCCGCGACCTTTTTGGAGTGCTGCAGGATGTGCAGCATGAAACCACGAGCGCAGGAGTTTACCTGCAGCAAGCAGGTTTGAGCCAGAGACTGCTTGTGCACGACGCAGAGATGTGCATTCAAAGATGTGGCTGTCGATCAGTTGGCGGCTCTGAAAACTTGCTCCAGCATTGACCTCGCCAGTCCATGAGCGAGGGTGTCGCCTTAGAGGCGTGGGGGCAGCTGGGCAAGGAGCTCAGCTCACGGCCATTGCCAGCAACCAGACACTTGCCCGGGCTGAGGGATCCTTCAGGCGCAGTGGCCCGCGCATTCGCCATGCAAGTGCAAGCGGGAAGTGCTGAGGCTGTGAAGTAATTTCCTTTGAGAGTTTCGCCGACGCTTGAGGAAGAGCAATCAACTGTCTGTCTTCAGCTGCAAAGTGCTGCTAGCAAGAGCAAGAGTTGCGATGACTCGCTTGAGCAAGACCGTCCTCTCTCAACCAGCATCTCCAGCACAAGCCTTCACGCTCTGCGCGCCGAACGGTCCACTTTGAGTTTCGGCCACTGCCGGAAAGGTCGCGGCCTAACAGCCAGGTGGACAGCAACGCAGGCTTGAATTTGCAGCTGGCTTGAGTCATGTGGGCATTCCACAGAAGCCAGTTGGCATGTTGCACAGCACTACTTGTAGCGCGCCAGGTTCCAGGAAACCTCATGTCAAGTCGCGTTTTGTGAGCTGCGCAAGCTCCAAGCCTCGCGTTGCAACCAGTGTCAGCCAGCATGACGGGCCGTAAACATGGTCCCAAATATAGAAGCCCCGCGCAGAGCTTTTGCTCTGCGCTGTATTTGGCTCACTTACCCATGAGGTGGCTGTTGAGACGAAACCTCCATCCAACCAGCAGAGGCATTGTGTGTTCGGTCGCGCCGGCCGTGGCGGTCTTGCTTCCATGCTGCCAAAGCGCTGCCTTAGGCGGACACACGCGTGTGGCCTTGAATGCAATTCTACCTGTCCTGGTGTTCCTGGCATTTGACATACATCCTCCTGCCCAAGCTTTCGTTGGCTGTGGCCCAGCCACAGCTTTATTGCATCAACATTGTCACCATAAGCAGCATCATGATGTGGCGCCATCAGTGTGAGAAACTGCACAGCTCGAAGATAATGCTGAAGGCTTTGTGCAGCCGTCTGCGCTCTGACTCCAGCGTTGGACGGTTGCCCCGCTTGACTTGCCAACAGGCCTGCAGTCTGGTTTCGTTTGTTTGTGATGTGTGCAGCTGCCTCAACATCAGCGGCTCCTGCTGCCAATGCTCCTGCCTGAGTTGGCAGTCTCGGATTCGCGCACCACATGAAGTGCTTGTCTTGAAACGGGCTTCCTGGGACTTGGGCGTGTTGGGCTATCTTAGCCTTCTCGGGAAGCATGCTTTGCATATCCATAGTGACAGAGTTTGCCATGCGAGTTTCTTGGCCGCGCAGCTTTCGATAGCAGCGGTTGCAGCTTGAGTCCGTGGGGAGGCTGCTGTTGCACGATCCGTTGAGGCCACGTCAGCATAGCGTAGAGTCGTCAAGTGGGCTTGGTGCGATCCGCTGACAGCGCGTTGCCACAAATCCATGGAGTCATCCTGCCAGAAGCGGGAAATTCGTCAATAGTTGCACGCGCGGCGTTGCCTTGTCCAGATACCGAGTCATATTTGCCAACACTCCAAGTAGTCATGCGCTATGCTTTAGTATTGATAGCTGCTGAGAAGGTTGTTGCATTGCACAGCTTAATTGGAAGCTTGCATGCAAACGATTCTGTGCAACTTCGCATATCTTCGATGGCATCATCTAAGCTCAGTTGGTTACCTTTGGCCACTGGCAAGCTGCAGGACACAGTGCACGCTGTCCGATTGTGTGCGGCTTGCTTGTTTCAGTCACAGAGCCCAATGTCAACGAGCTGCCTCGCGGTCGACAATGCCTTGGTGTCAGTGTCAGCTTTATCCTTTGACGTTTCGGGCTTTGATCTGCACCGCAAAGCAAGAACAATTTCTCCGTTCGGGGGCAATGAGTTCAGCACAGGATCTTGATACTGGGATGAGCCGCCAGGTTCTGCTGTGTATGCGGTCGACCCAAGCAAAAGCGCAGGTGACGTGAATCACAGATGACAACAAGCTGTATGACATCAGCAGGTAGTGTCAAGTGGTGAAGTGCGAGCAAACATGTGTTTGTCTTGCACACACACTTACACCTGTGAGGACCAACACGTAGCGCCACCTGTTCCACTGGTGCGAGCGCTCATCACCGGCGACGGACAGATAGTCTCTCCTTTGCTTGTGAGTAGCCAAAAGGTGATATATCGATCATACAGCAGAGCGTGCTGCGTCAAGCAGGTCTCTCACAGAGTGGAGACTGGGCTACGTGACAGCAAAGTTTGCCACCAACGCAGTGCCATCGTGATAGAAATTACGTTTCTTATGCTTTTCTGACCTGGTTGGAAGACTGCAGGCCCCTTCGCAGGAGTACATGTGACATCCACTGGAGCTTTCCTCTCAAATGGCCTGCCGTTTGTGCACCACTGGTCTACTTGGCAAATTCCATTTTGGGGGCACACTGTTTCGGAGGAACTTGGGGGCCCGCAGGTGCCAGACCGGCCATTGGCAATTTGGTTGAGCTTTTGTACATCTGGGTGCAGCTGGAGTGTCAGTAGGCATCCATTTCTCAGTAAGTCCAATGACTGCTCTTGCAGATGGGGCCATCCTGGCTTGCAGGTTGCCAGGGACCGGGCTTCACTGGGCTCTTTGGCCTTGCAGGGAGGTTGCGCTTATTCGGAGCCCTGCCGATTCCAAGTCACGGCCGTTGATCTCCATGTGTGCTTGCGTTATTTGCAGCCGCAAGCTGAAGTCAGCAAGCCGTATGGTTGTTCCTTGCAACGTGCGCCGGAATTTGCGAGCCCGCAGAATCACAGCGCTGGGGCCACGTTGGCTCGTTAGCAACTTGGTTGAGCTTTTGCCCATGTGGGTGCAGCTCGAGTGTCAGTATAGATCCATTTCCCAGTAAGTCCAAGCAGGTTGCCAGGAGGCGGGCTTTGCTGGGCTCCGCTTTGGCCTTGCAGGGAGGTTGCACGTATTTGGAGCCATGCCGATTCCCAGTCACAGCTCAAATCAGCGCATGGTTGTTCCTTGCAACGTGCGCGCGAATTTGGGAGCCCACAGAATCACAGAGCTGGGGTCACGTTAATCTGAGCGGTTGTTCCTCACAGCCGTCCATTTCCGTGTGTGCCTGCGTTATTTGCAGTTGCAAGCTCAAATGAGCGAGCCGTATGGTTCCTTGCAACGTGCGCGCACATTTGGGAGCCCGCAGAATCACAGAGTTGGGGCCACGTTGGCTCGATAGAAACCAGCTCGAGGGTCAGTAAACATTCATTTCCCAGTAAGTCCAACTTCTGCTCTTGCAGATGCGGCCATCTTGGCTTGCAGGTTGCCAGAAGGCGGGGCTTCACTGGACTTGAAGCAGCCTTGCAGTTTGCTTGCTTCTTTGGCCTTGCAGGGAGGTTGCGCTTGTTTGGAGCCATGCCGATTCCCTCACAGCGGTCCATCTCCGTGTGCGCTCGCGTAATTTGCAGTTGCAAGCTAACACAGCCTGAGCGGTTGTTCCATGCCCCGTTCGTGCGCATTTGGGAGCCGGCAGCATCACAGAGCTGGGGCCACGTTGGCTTGTTTGGAAACTGGCTCGAGTGTGAGTAAGCGTCTATTTCCTAGCAAGTCCAATGGCTACTCTTGCAGATGGGGCCATCTTGGCTTGCAGGTTGCCAGAAGGCGGGGCTTCACTGGGCTTGAAGCAGCCCTGCAGTTTGCTTGCTTCTTTGGCCTTGCAGGGAGGTTGCGCTTGTTTGGAGCCATGCCGATTCCCAGGCACAGCGGTCCATCTCCGTGTGCGCTTGCGTTATTTGCAGTTGAGCTCGCGCTAGCCTGAGACATGTGGCCTCATCTCTTTAAGTCAAGCAACGAACGAGTTGTCGCAGACGCAGCTATCAGCTGTCGTCGCAAGTGCAACTTGAGTTGTTGTTGCTGATTCAACCAGCGGCTGTCAAAAGAGACGAGTTGGCCGCTGACACACCCCTTGCAGCTGCTGCGCGAGCGAAGAGGTGGATATTCGGCGGCTCCATCCAGTGCGCGAGTCCAATAGCGGCCACGGCTTGGCTTGCCTTCGAACGTGAATGCTTGAGCGCATGAGCGCCATAGTAGCTGAGCGCGACCTTCAAAAGCAAGTGCCGCGAAGCTTTCGGCTGTGAGTACCAATTTTGCAGATGATGCGCCTTCTTGGGTCTTGGGTGCTAAAAACTTGTCAAGGGCTTGCACGGAAGATATCCTCTATTTCTGCTTGCCTGTCTGCTCCGGCGCCCACTTGCGCCAGCTTGCCATGTTTGTTGGGCAAAAGGGCATAAGAAACAAGAAGGCTTTGGTTGTGAGACATGTCAATGATGCCTGTCAGGCAAGACTTCAATTCCGAACCCCTTGTCCTTCACACAAGCCCGGCCCGTTGGACGCTGCCCTCACGTTCGGTCACTTCCAGCCCCCCCATGCAAGACTAATCCGCAGAGTCCAGTGCGGGCTGTCCGGATCCTACCGGTTACCCAGGTTTCGAGTCCCCCCAAACAAAGGACCTGAGGAGAAGCGATGGCAATCTAGTTGCTGCTTTAACATAGAGGCTAGTCCCATGGATATGCTGGCCAGGGTTTGTTTTTTCCGCATTGGTCCCCAAGCTGCCCGTGATAAGGCTAGTGAGTCTACTGAGTTGAGTGCTTCTGGAGCTATGGACTTCAGCGTCCCGGCAGACAGTGTTGCTTGGCAAGGTCACTGGGACATTGGGCCGTTTTGAGAACCACGCTGGGGCGTAAGTCCCGGCGGAAATGCCCGCGCAATTATGGCACCTCATGATTCGGAGCAGACAAGACGCAACCCAGAGACTCTTGAATCTTGGCCGATCTCTTGAGGAAAAGGCTGATGCTGGTGAAGCTTTGGCAGAAGCCAAGATATGATGACTTGCGGTTGTGCTGGCATGCCGGCAGGATCCAAGCGTGTGCACGGCGGCCGTATCATGCTGAGGACTTTCGCGGACCATTGCCTTATTCGTGTAAGTCCGGCGCAAGTAGCGTAGGAGCAGGTTGGCGTCTCATCCCAGAACAACATGGGGGTCGCCGCTCGGGTGCGTGTGCACAAAAAACTCTGTAGCTCAGTGGTCCCGATTCGTGGAACGCCGTTTCCCGATTGGCCATCACGCCATACATATATGATTATCGTTATATTAAATGGGAGTTTCCCACGGCCCCGACTGCACCACCTTTTCTGGAGTGCTGCGGCGATTTGCAGCATGAAGCCACGAGCGCAGGAGTTTACCGCGGCAGGCAGGTTTGAGACAAAGACTGCTTGTGCCAATGCCACTAGTCGCGCTGTGCAGAGTTCTTTTCACGCGCCCTACGCCCATGTCACTTGCGAACCGGCACGGTGCCACAGAACTTGGCCAGGGCTTGCTCGCAAGAAAGCCTGTCTGTCCCGCGACTTGCGCCAGCTTGCCAATGAAAGGTAAGAAGAGGGAGAAGCGTGCTCTGGTTGTGAGACATGTCGGGGATGCCTGCTAGGCGAAACTTGAGGTCCCAACCCCTTGTCCTTTACACGAGCCCGGCTCATTGGACGCTTCCCTGACTTTGGGTCTGTCCGGATCCTACCGGTTACCCAGGTTTCGGGTCCCCCCAAACAAAGGACCTGAGGAGAAGCGATGGCACTGTAGTTGCTGCTTTAACATAGAGGCTAGTCCCATGCATATGCTGGCCAGGGTTTGTCTTTTCCGCATTGGTCCCCAAGCTGCCCGTGATAAGGCTAGTGAGTCTACTGAGTTGAGTGCTTCTGGAGCTATGGACTTCAGCGTCCCGGCAGACAGTGTTGCTTGGCAATGTCACTGGGACATTGCACCGCGCTGGGGCGTCAGTCCCGGCGGAAACGCACGCGCAATTGTCGCACCGAGCGGACAAGAGGCAACCCAGAGACCCTTGAATCTTGGCGGATCTCTTGAAGAAAAGGCTGATGCTGGTGGAGCTTTGGCAGAAGCCAAGATAATATGATGATTTGCGGTTGCGCTGGCATGCCGGCAGCATCCAAGCGTGTGCACAGCGGCCGTATCATTCTGAAGACTTTTCGCAGACCATTGCCGTATTTGTGTAAGCAAGTAGCGTAGGAGCAGGTTGGCGTCTAATCCAACAACATGGGCGTGGCCACCAGGGCACGCGATTGCGCAAGGAACTCCGCATTCTGGAGTGTTGCGGCGATTTGCAGCATGAAGCCCAGGTAGGTTTGTGTCAAAGACGGCTTGCGCCAATGCCACTAGACGCGCTGTGCAGAGTTCTTTTCACGTGCCCTACGGCCATGTCACTTGCGAACCGCCGCGTCAGAATCGCTGGGGCTGCTGCGATGTCCAGAAACACTACACAGACTCACAGCGAACAGGGTCTCTGCCTGTCTTCTTGCGTTGTCTTTTCGGGGGTCACTGGCTGCGCTGGCCTTGACTATTGGAGGCTCTTGGGCGCCATAGTAGACGAAACTTCAATTCCGAACCCCTTGTCCTTCACATGAGCCCGACCCATTGGACGCTGCCCTCACTTTCGGTCACTTCCCAACCCCATGCAAGACTATTCCGAGTCCAGTGCGGGCTGTCCGGACAATACAGGTTACCCATGCTTCGGTCCCCCCAAAACTGAAAAGAGGCGATGGCAACCTAGTTGCTGCTTCAACATAGAGGCTAGTCCCACGCATGTGCTGGCCAGGGTTTGTCTTTTTCGCATTGGTCCCCAAGCTGCCCGTGATAAGGCTAGCAAGTCTACGCAGTTGATTTCTTCCGGACAGTGTTGCTTGGCAACGTCACTGGGACATTGCGCCGTTTTGAGAACCACGCTGGCTGGGGCGTAAGTCCCGGCGGAAATGCCTGCGCAATTGTCGCACCTCATGATTCGGAGCAGACAAGAGCCAACCTTTGTCAAACTGTTTGGTTTCGCCCTGCATCACTGGCGCGGTGACCAGCAACATTGCGTGCCGCCGGCAGAATGTCCGTACTATCCCGAAGGAACCAGCAGCAAAAACGGCAAACCTCCTTGCGCTACCTGCGGCTGCAGTGCCCTTGCAAAGAAAGGTCAACCAGCTGTCCCGCCTTGTGGTGAGGACAGCCACGCAAACAATATATAAAGGACATGACTGGTGGTTGTGCACCACCCAAAACAAACCACCCATGTCGGCATCATTGGCGGACTCACGCGCGTGTCACACGCTTGCGACTCCAGCAACAACGGCGGAATAAAGCACCACATTTCTCATGCGTAATGTAGTGACATAGAGGCACCAAAGCTGCACATTTCACTGAGTTTGTCATCCGCGCTTGTAGCATTGCGTTGTAGTAGCTTGCAAAGCACTGAGCCTAAATCGTGTGCTGACGTGGAAGGCATGCGCTCCCACATCGCATGCTGAAATCACATACGCAGCAACCGCATTCTCGTCCATGTACATAGCAACAATCACTTTGTTCCGGAAGCTCGCACCTTCGCACTCACCAAGCGAATGCGCCACCACGTGAAAGCCCGCGCATTACTATCCGATCCCGGTAGCAGACCTAATACTTACGGCTTTGTGAGAGCTTCAGGGTGAAAGAGTTGTCGCGCCATGTGACTATGACAGCTTCGTACAGGCATTGTCCATGGCAATCCGGAACTTAGTGGAAACCCCGCACTACGGCTGGAAGGTCTCGGGCCACAAGTGCTGGCAGAGGCAACCCAGAGACTCGTTGTCGCGTGCTAATTCGTTGCGGAATACTTCGCACGATGCATTGGCAGCATGTGTGGAGAGCTTTGCGCAGACCATTGCCTTAGCCTCTCAAGTGCTGCACCTTGCCAAACAGCTCTCAGGCTGCGTTCGCCTGTGAGCTTCAGTGACGGCAGCTTACAGAGAAAGAGCTTGCAGCGCAATCGGGCTTAGGATTACTTGGCATCCATCACATAATGACCACCCCCCATTTAC